GAGATGAGCCAGGTGGGGTGTGGTTGAAAGTGAGGATATTAATGCCTAAAACATTTGGGGTCCGAAACAGATCACTATGCAAATTCCCAAGGGGAGGGGAGGGGGGGGCAGTGTAGCGGTCGGAAAAGCAAATTCACAGTTCAAGTTTTGAGAAAAATTCAAGGAATGTGGTCAATAGACACTTGACGGCGCAGTGGGTGTTTTATCATTGTTTCAAGTAAATAGGTCAGGTAAATCGACCACAGGCAATGTATACATAGAATAGGTGATATGTGTTCGGACATGACTGAATGATGCGTATTTCACGGTTCGCAGTTTGTTCGACAAACAGTGCGGTTACCAATGCCTCAAAAAAGTTGTCGTTGTGCGCGTCAAATAGTTAATTGTTATGGACCACTGCATGTAGTGTTGTGCATCGCACTCGTATTGGCTTAGGGAGAACACAAACAAGAACAATTCGATCAATTTACTCGTTTTACGTTTTGTGTTACTAGCACAACGATGCTTCTCGGGTACGGGTTAATTTAACATCCTCGAAATTCAATTTCTCAGGATTAAAACAACTCTTTAAATTAAATCAAGTACTAGGGAAAGTTTGGTGGAAGTGTTCGATGCTGCTTAGGCTGTTCGGTTACTTCCATACGGAACTTATTGCGGGTGGCGATGCCAAATGAGCTCAGAGCGCCGGATCCAACTGGTGCTATTTCGTTTCACTATCCAAATTAAAGATGCGTAAAACTACAGCACGGCCTTTTCCGGCTGACTAGTAATCAACCGAGTGCAAGTCGACAGTTTAATCATGGAATGTAGCAACCAGCTTCAAAAATGTCCTCATTCACTCACGTCAATGACATAGGCCCCACTGGATAGCTTGATCGCTATGCCACCACCAGGTTTTCCGGAGACAAATGCTGATTGGGTTCATAGTGTGCAATAACTGGAAATAATGGAGCTTCCAAATGAGTCTCCCTTAAATATTTCAGATAACGTTTAATGTTTGTTCCGGACAACAGAAGCATGAGGATTCGCGGTAACTCAAAATGGAGGACAATTGTGGAAACCGTATCAAACGTACAGGACGAATTTTCATTGTTCTGGATACTTTTCTAGACAAAATGAATTTAAAGGGTTCTAAAGCACAATCTGTCCAAGCAATAGAACTGGCTCAACCGTAGTGAAACGTGTTGCGCTCAGGATATTCCGGGAGGGGTACAAGTTCTATGTTGTTCTCCCAGGTGCAGGAAAACAAAACACTTCAAACAACCGGTTCGTTGGTACACTTTTTGACGTGGGTAACATGGAACACAAGGAATGGCGTTGAATACATGGCAATTCCGATAGCAATAATAATAATATTAACACTAATAATTTTCGGTTAGTTTTAATAATCAGACACTAGTCGAATAATTTTCAGGAAGGGAAAAACACCAGGGGTCAGAAAGGCATGAGATAGTGAAGTGGTGGTTACGTGAACGGTGGGACTGAAGTTAACTAGTGAACCGACAATATTGGATGTCAATGCCAGCCCAGGGAAACCTGATTGAAGGAGAAAAGTTAGCTAGATATGCAATAATGTCTCAAATTTCTCTCGTCCTAACTTGAATCCAGTACCCAGTTCCATGAAACAGCCCCCCAAAATCGATGCACACATGTTGGCACTTATCATTTTCGGTCAATTTAACTCAAACCGTTACCTTTCACCCACCCCCCAGGGCTCTCTTTAGTATGATCTTTATTAACCTGGAAGATTTCACAATGTGACGCTGGCGTAAGGTAAATCCTTAGGAAGTGATCTATTTTTTTTACTAGCGTACTTTAAAAAGGATTTTCGACTTAGCCAAGGTTAACCTTAATCTGTTTTACGTTCTATATGGCGTTTTTCTTCATGTATCATTTACACGACATAGCACAACCCACCCTTAGCAACAAGCTCGTAAAAAAGGTCGAAACAGCTGTCCAGTGCTTCCTAGCTGTTTAGTTAATGCTTCATTTGTTATATGCACGATAAATTCCCTTTTGGAATTGTCAATTTGTTTGTCTTCCAAACTTTTGAAATCCTCTTCACTCGCTTTTTACACACCATTGTTCTCCCCCTCACCCACCCACCCAGTGGGTGAAAATGCTCCCCTGTAAATTTAGGTGATTCACGCTCGATGGATTAGTAATGCTTGAAGTACGCACAGATCACGGATTACGAATCACCTATTGAGAATCACGGACGTCACGAAGCACTGAATCACATTGACACATGCACAACGGTATCTCACTTGACTGAGACGCAAGGAAAAGACAGCAGAAGTAGCAGTTCAGTTATTTGAAGAAATCAAAGGGTTTAAATAACATTGGTTATCCAGGCACTTACCAGTCACGTGCTCTTATTCTCGGTGTCGTACGGTTTCTGATTGGTGGGCACAATCGGCCTAAGATTCGTATTCCAGAAGCTGTAACATATAGGCACTTTGCTGGCATTATCTGGGAAGCTTGACTCATCACAGTTGTCCGGATACTATAATGTGTCACCGTGTAGTTGGCGTCATCCCGTAAGTTAGGATCACCACAGGATTACCGAATGGTTTGCACTAGACACCCAGCTTATGGGAGTACCCAGCTGACAAGAAACTTTTCGATCCTTAATCTGTGCACCTTGCCACGCTTATAACTAACTTGATCACTGAAACGTTTTTTTTTCATGCTGCAGTAGTTCATCGAGCATAACGCTGAAAGTGGCCCTTTTGGGGTGAATTATACATGTAATTGATTTTACCAACCGATCGATTACCCAAACGGGATTCAAAATTCCAACATGGGGAAATTTTTGTGAGTGTGCTGACCTAGTTAAACAATAACTGACTTCCGTTCAATGCATGTCCCTAATCTTCGAGGACAATGACAAATAAAGACACTAAAGAAATGACTAGTTATCGTTTGCAGTTCACAAAATGAACTTTTATCCCGATTTATTGGAAATGAAATCACATGATGTCTTCTTGCAAATGAAAATTATCAGAACTTTGATGATAGCAAAACAACACAAGTTATACTCAGTACACGTGATGGAAGATGAAATCGAGTATTTCGCAAAAGCTAGGAAACATCTGTATATAGTTAAAAATTCTTTTCATTCACTGATTATTTTGTTTTATGCTGTCATGTTACCCGAATTCCATTACTTTCTTTAGGCCATGAATCAACAAGCATCACCGGCCCGTTATCTATGTGAACCGGAAGTTAATCGTGGTACGTCGGACCATTACCGTTCTCCAATCATGCGCCCCACCGGTCTGGATGTGCAAACACATAGTAACGCGGAAAGCACCATAATTCCACCACCAAATGCCTTTGGAACGCACAGCCCACATGGGCCTGGTATATCAACCGGTCCCAGTGCAGACACTGGTCGTCTCCTGTACCACGGTTCCGACAACGAAGAGTCTCATTTCGATTTGACACAGGGACAGACAACCACGGCAACCGTCCGTCCGTCCCCGGGCAATTTAATCCGTCCGCCACAGATTAATGTGAGCAACGCCCCAGTCAAACATCCCAGCCCGAATCAGGCGCTAGTCTATCCCAATGATGGACAGGATGGATTCCCTCGATATGGATGTATAGTGTGATCCTGCGATTACTGGGTTGATAACTAAATATCAACTCTACTTGCCATCTGTATTACGCAACTGTTAGAAGTACAGTGAGAGAGCGAGAGCAAGAGGGTGATAGATACAAAAACACACGTCACTCGACTCCTGTAAAAATGCAAACAACACATGTACTGTTATTCGACCCTACCGGGCATGCCAATTTTATTACAGAATAACCAAAGACATTATTCGCTTCTGATACGCATGGAATGTGTACATTTTTCTCTCAACATCGAACTGCTAGTTCGATGCGTTTGATTTACAACGATGAAGCCTGACCAATGACGTACAAAATCTCTCACCTA